AAACCAGTCAACAATCCAAAACCATGTTTCCACATTGCTATTCCGAGTGGCCGGCCCTACACAATTGAGAGCCGAGAGGATAAAACTTCTGGTGTGGAGCTAATATAAACAATTCACAAATTATTCGAAACACCTGGTGATTTTGTCTTGTGTAAAGTCCGCCGTAAATGTCATCACAATTGATTAATCGGCCTGAATTCCCGTCGCTCTTACTGTAGGTAAACAGCCTCCATTCCTTGATTGGTCAGTCATGAAATACTGGAAGTAAACTGATCATAAAAGAAGCGCGCTCGGGCGAAACATGCGTGATTGCATCTGTATTGAACTATGAAAATTGCACAATTAACCATGTTAACGTTAACATGATACTTTTGATAAACGGAGAGGGATAGGTAAATAAGGGATTTGACAACTTGTTTCAATTGAGGACATTATCAGGTCCTAAAAAATGGACACATCGAACCATAACATTTGTATGAACACTCTCCATACTCTTCTCTATACATTTTCTACGGTCATGACAAGAAGATTTGTCTATCAATCAAGAGCTTCTTTAGTCAACGTTCGCTCCCTTCCGATTATCAAAATCTTACTTTGACTCAGCGGTGATGCTGTAAGGAACGATTTGACGCCAGTCCGTCATAGAAGTTTAAGAGTTAAACGTAACAAACTTTGACATTTGCTTGTTGCCAAAGTACAACTGTCTCTTCCAGTAAACCAGCCAATCTCAACTGACATCAAAACTAAAACTCGCTTGCAATTTAAATCGGAATAGCTGTAATGTGCTTCATTTGCATCATATATATATATATATATATATTTACTCTGCAAAGCGAATGTCTATAGAACACTCTTTTGTAATTGTTTATACTAACTCCTTGAAATTTTTAAAACATGAGCGATTTAATGCAAACTTTTTTTTTCCGCTGGGTTGAATTTTGCCAGCTTCACTCAAAACAGAGATGAAGAGCAGATACTTTAAACGCTAAGTGACTCAGGCTTATTTCCTATGAAAATTTAAACACAGCCTAGTAAAGCTAGCTTTTTCAACACAGTTTAATCAATCATTTTTCAAAATAACCTGATCTCAATTGCCATCGGCTCCAACTCTCCTTTATTTGCTAATCAGCGGCGATGCAACGTTATCTAAATACAACAAGAGTAGCTCTTTATGGCGGTCCTCACCCAATTATTCAACTTATTTCCTGCTTGTCAACATTAATGTATACAATAGATAACGCTTGCCTCAAATTACGATCGATCAAAATAAAAAGTCATCCATCTGGAAAAGCTTTTGAGTCATTAAGTGGCTCAATGTTGTTTCTCTTCTTTCAGATCACACAGCAAATGCGTCGTTCTACTTCCTCTTTTATGTCCCTCTTGAACAGAGCGTGAGCGACTGGGTTGATGTCAGAGTTTAAAAACCAACAGAGGCAATTTGAATTTTTTATCATTACATGGTTGT